TATTCTAAATTCTATTCTAAATTCTATTCTAAATTCTATTCTAAATTCTATTCTAAATTCTATTCTAAATTCTATTCTAAATTCTATTCTAAATTCTATTCTAAATTCTGTTCTGTTCTATTCTGTTCTATTCTATTTCTATTCTATTCTATTATAAAGTCTATTCTATTCCTATTCTATTCTATTCTAAACTCTATTCTATTCTAATCTATTCTAAATTCTACCCTTTTCTATTCTAAATTCTATTCTATTCTAAATTCTATTTTAAATTCTACCCTCTTCTATTCTAAATTCTGTTCTATTCTATTTTATTCTATTCTAAATTCTATTCTAGTCTAAATTCTACTCTATACTCTACTCTACTTCACTCCACTCTATTGGACTCAACTCCACTCCACTCCACTCCGCTCCTCTTCTGTCCTGTCCTCTTCCTTGCAACAGGACTCAGTTTTGAAGCACCAAGAGACCCAATATCCTTCCCGTGTTAAACTCGCAAGCATCTCTATGCTCACTTTGGAGTAAACTCAACTCCGTGGAACTCGATTGCAAAAAGTGACTCTGTTTTTTTCCGTTCTTCCTCTGGGTACATCTGATGGGGGATCCCCACCTGTGGAAGACGTCCAGGTGGCCTGGGAGATCCTTGCCAGCAACCAGAGGGGAGGCACAAGCCCATGGTATCTCCCAGGGATCCAGGGTGGATCCCATTGTCGGGATCCTCGTTTGCGCAGTCAGACAGGTTGGGAAGGGAAACACACAAACAAACCAGGATTTGTAAACGGGCTAACATCGAAATGGGTCAGTGGGGACATGATGTGGACAGGTCCCTTAACCCTGGTTAGGGGCGGTGGTGTTTATCTTGGTGGCCTCCTTAACAAGGTGTGGTCCTTCTTTCCTTCATGACTTCGGCTGAAATGCGACGGAATCTTGGTTTCCGCCGATCATTTCCACGTTGTGAAATTTTGGCCTTCTCGCCTTTGAGGGGGACTTGTAAAGAGTGTGGCTTTTATTTTTTGTGTTTGTTGCCTGATTGCACAACACTGTGGGGTTCCGTTGTGGGTGCTCCCAGGCTGGAGGTTTTTAAGAAGAGACCGGAAAAAGCATTTATCTGACATAGCAATAGCAGTTAGACTTATATACCGCTTCATAGGGCTTTCAGGCCTCTCTAAGCGGTTTTTTTACAGAGTCAGCATATNAGATAACTGGCTTCATCCAAGGACCGCTGGAGCTGAGAGGCCACAACCTTCTCAACAACCTTCCCCACAAAACATTAGCCATCCCTCCATTCTACCCAGCTTCCTGTAGCTGAGAAACTGTTCCCTGGTGTAATAAAACCAGCTACAAGTGTAGGGGGAAAAAACGGGAAGGAGAACAGGAAGTCTGCTCCAGATAACATTGAAACGGGAACCGGCCACACGCACGTTATCTCCCAGACCTTTGAAGGCAGTTCCTTCAGCATTCCTGCAATGTCTCCAAATTACCTCTTCGGTGGTCAAACACCTAGAGACGGAGCTTCCCGCTGGATTTTTGTGCTTTGGACATGCCAAGCCCTCCTTTAAGAGGGTGCCATATGGGGAGGGGAGGGGATTGGGAGGAGCCCCCTCCCTTCTCCTCCAACGAGCTGTTGTTGTCACCCGTGCAAATGTAGTTCCTCTTTCTCTAGTGTTTGCGTAACTGTTTGTCACTCAAGATAATAATCTGACAGATATTATTTCTGGGGTGGGTGAGGAGCATCGTAGCACCCTGGGGTGGAGTCGGGCTGGGAGAGCGATTGTCTTATAAGCAGGGAAACGCTTGACACGTTTTATAGTCTCCATCCTTGGAGTGGAGAGGACGGGACAAAAGGCCACCCTTCAAGAAGGCCAATTTCCATCATGGCCGCATACAAGGTGCGAGTTACGACGGGCAACGTTTGCGATTTGGGCACCTTCGATTCAACTTCTGTCACCTTGGTGGGCACCGAAGGCGAGAGTCCCAAAACCACGCTGGGCACCCGGAGTCCTAGTTTCCGTGGAGACATGGTGGGTTGATGGATCCTATCATAGATGCCTTCAAAAGATGGGATCTGCTCACTTTTTACCTCAAGGTGGGGGGAGGCTGCAGGGAGAGAGAGGGGGGCAGGAGGAGGGACGGAGGAACGGAGGGAAAGAGAGAGAGAGAGAGAGAAGAGAGAGAGAGAGAGAGAGAGAGATGCTATCGGCTTCAGCAATTAGAAACAATTAACAATTAATCAGGGGAACAACTTGCCTCCAGAAGTTGTGAATGCTCTGACACTGGAAGTTTTTAAGAAGAGATGAGACTAGTGTTTGTCTGAAGTGGTGTAGGGTTTCCTCCTTGAACTAGACTAGAAGACCTCCAAGGTCCCTTCTAACTGTTATTCTCTTCTCTTCTAAATTCTCTTCTATTCTTCTACCCTATTCTATTCTAAATTCTATTCTAAATTCTACCCTATTATATTCTAAGTTCTACTCTATTCTTATTCTATTCTATTCTAAATTCTACCCTATTCTAAATTCTATTCTATTCTATTCTATTCTATTCTATTCTAAATTCTACCCTATTCTAAATTCTATTTTAAATTCTACCCTTATATTCTAATTTCTGTTCTAAATTGTGCAGCGTGAAACACTTGATCACTGAACCGGTGGTTAAACCGACAGGACCCCACCCCTGCTCCTCACCGGTCATTCCCCACCATCCAATTTCTCCAGGCTTAGCAGAGAATGGAAGGGTGAATGGAAGGGTCGCTTACAGAACCTCTTGAGGTTCCTCAGACTCATGAAACTCCTTCTTTTATTTCTCATGGTGCCTTTCCGGATGTGTCCATTGACGGCAGGAGACCGAATACGAAATCACTTGTGAACGCCCCCTGGGGGAGATCGTTCTTCTCCGTCTCCAGAAAGAGGCTTTGAGGGACGATAAATCGGACCACTGGTATTGCGATTTTGTCACGGTGATGTCGGCGGAAGAGGTGACCTACAACTTCCCTTGCTACCAGTGGATAGAGGACTCCTGGCCACTAGAGCTGAGAGAAGGAACTGGTAAGTAGATCTACTCAAGGGGAAAAAGCTAAATTGTGGTTTTCTGGTTCCCATCAACACTCATCAAAGGTAATCCTCGCATTACAACTGCCATTGAGCCCAACACTTCTGTTGCTAAATGAGACATTTTGTTCAACTGAGTTCAGCTCCATTTTTATGACCTTTCTCGCCTGGAGTCTCTAAGCGAATCTTGTCAGGGTAATGATTTAAGTGCCGAACAGCTGCTACAATGATGTAACGCTGGGAATGAGTCAGCAAGGTCTTTGGGCTGATATCACTTTAAGAGCCTGTAATAAGAAGAGGCCCTGTTGGGGCGTATCTCTCTCTCGGTATGTGCTTCCCTGCTGTAATTGCTGATTGTTTGAGGTCTGACTAAAGTACATGTATGTATATATTCTTTATAGACAAAACCACTATTTAAATTTCAAATCTCTGTTTACTGTATTTGCTCCTGGGTTGTCTGACATAGTCACACTGTGCATACTCTGACAGAATACCTGCAGTTACCATATTTTTCAGAGTATAAGACGCAGAGGAGTATAAGACACACCAATATTTTGAAGAGGCAAATTAAAAAAAAGTTTTTGTGCTCTGCAGATCTCGGCAAACTGGGCCGTTTTTCACAAAAATGCGTTTTGTCAAAAAAAGGACATACATAGCCTTTAGGAATCTTGTAGAGTGCTCCTGAGGGCTGGAGGGTGCAAAAACGAGCAAAAATTGACCCGTTTCCCAATCATTTTTGCCCTCCCCAGCCCCCAGGAGCACTCTGGGAGCCTCCTAAAGGCTATGCATGGCCATTTTTGCAAAGGGGACGGGGTTTCAGGAGGCCAAAATTGCTGTATTCGGTGTATAAGATGCATCAGGATTTTCACCCTCTTCTTTGAGGTAAAAACATGCGTCTTATACTCCGAAAAATACGGTACGTTCATAAGATGGTTAAGTGAATCTGGCTTTCCCATTGCTTTCAGAAGGTCACAAAAGGGGATCACAGGACCCCGGGACACTGCGACCATCATTAATAGGAGTTGCCAAGCATCTGTATTTGGATTGTGTGACCATGGAGATGCTGGTCGTTAAGTGTGAAAAAATGATCCTAAGTTGTACGTTGAGGATTTATCTGCACTGCAAATTTATCGAGCTCCAAATGGACAATGCTATTAGAAAAGATCACCCAGTGAATTTCACTAGTTAGGATGTCCAGGATCTACTTTGAGGGATCTCTTGAGGAGGCAGCTGGTTCCTCTGGCTAACCTCCAACTTGGTTACTCTCCCCGCAGCGAAGACACCAGCCATGGATTCTCTGCCGAGGTTGCAACAACATCAGAAAGAAGAACTTCAGCAGAGACAGGATATCTACCGGTGGGTGCAATTTAGAGGCTCAAAGAACCAAGATTGAAACTCAACACTGTAAGAAAGGGGTGGACCTCTTGGCCATCTTGACTTTTTTTTTGCCCCTGATGCTGCTAGTTCAAACCTGGATCTCAGAACCTGATTCTACATGTTAATACAACAAAGGCAATCATCATAGATTTTATGAGGACAGGGTGGTGAGGACAGTGGAAAAGATTATAGGAAGCTTTGTTTAATAAAACAAAGGCGATCATCATAGATTTTATGAGGACAGTGATGAAGACAGTGGAGAAGATTATAGGAAGCTTTGTTTAATAAAATAAAGGCGATCATCATAGATTTTAGAAAGAACCAGCATGGTCATACTCCACTCAGTAGCAAGGATGTAGCCATAGAGGTGGTCCACCGTATTAAGCATTGGGGGGGGGCAGACTAACAATCTGAACTGGTCTCTCCACATGTCATCCTTAGTGAACCATGCAAACCAGCGTCTGCATTTCCTGTGTCGGATGAGGAGAGCACCTCTTTCTCCTTCTGTCCTGGCCACTTTTAACAGATGCACGATTGTGAGCATTTTAACCAACTGCATCCCTGTTTGATTTGGTAGCCGCAGTACCTCCAATAGAAAGTCCCTACAGAGAGTGGTGAGGACAGTGGAGAAGATTATAGGAAGCTTTGTTTAATAAAACAAAGGAGATCATCATAGATTTTAGAAAGAACCAGCATGGTCATACTCCACTCAGTATCAAGGATGCATCCAAGAGGTGGTCCACAGTATTAAGCATCTGGGGACGGGGGGCAGATAACTAACAGTCTGAATTGGTCTCTCCACATGTCATCCTTAGTGAAGCATGCGAACCAGCGTCTGCATTTCCTGCATCAGATGAGGAGAGCACCTCTTTGTCCTTCTGTCCTGCTCACTTTTTACAGAGACACAATTGAGAGCGTTTTAACAAACTGCATCTCTGTTTGGTTTGGTGGCTGCAGCGCCTCCGATAGAAAGCCCCTA